GTAGTTGGGTGTTTCGCTTCGGTCAACCTGTAGAAAGGAAAACGATGATCACAACGGTGAAAAAATTACATGAAACGAAAATCGGGAATGACCTCATCTAAGGTGATTTGTGAAATTTCCCGCAGCGGCAACGCTGGGATTCGACGGTATTTTTCGGCCAATTGGCCGGTTCTTTCACTCCGATTTAGTCATGGGTGGGTTTAAAATTGAATTTCGTACAAAAGGAAAAATGTTTACCTTTTTTGGCAGTCGGAAAGGGATCCGGTGCGACGGCGGGTGGCGGCGGGTGGACTGAGTTGTCTTATCCGGCGAGAGGTTCTGGCGGCTAGGGTTAGGGTTTAGGTGCGGATGGGGTTATTTATACCCATTTGCTTTTGATTTGGGCCGCCCATCGTTTTTGATCTGAACTGTCCGATCGCGATTAAATAAGGAGTGAATCTGAGTCGTCCGTGCGCGTGGGAATGGAGCTCAGCCGTTCGATCACGCGCACGTAGATCGCCCACGTGGCTCCCCCCGCGTGGCCTCCCGCGTCAGCGCCTCTGCCACTTGGTGCGTCCTGATTGGTCGGGGCTGCTGATTGGGCGTCTGATGTGACACAATTTTTTAAAATTACGTTTTGACCCCTGATTTTTTATTTTTCTTTTAAAAATACTCTGAGAACCTAAATTTTCACCATTTTTTTCAAAAATTATTTTCAATTTAATCCTTTATCAATTTACTCAATTTTTTTTCATTAAATTAAAATAAACAAAATATAATATAATAAATTAAATTAAATAATCAAAAAATTATATTTATTAATAATAAAAAAATAAAAATAAAAGCCTTAGGTGAGTGTTACAAGGTATGTTAAAAAAGAAGGATTGCTGATACTATACATGAAATTGAAATGTCATTTGGTTAATTGTTTTCATAAGTTAATTTTGGAAAAAATCCGCAACGGTAAGTATCAAATAAAAAGTTTTAAAGGTAAATGTATTTACTTAAAATAAAGGCTTCATTAATTGTTTTTTTATTTTTATCAACATTCGGTTTTCTATATCATTGATTAATGTGATATTCTTATTGGGGTAGTGTAGCTCACTCTTTCATTAGTCATTTCATATCAAGAAAACCAAGATGCAGATCCCGATCGGCAAAAAAATTGTGTGTAATTCACCTTCCGAACTCCCTTCAAGTGCTAGTGAAGGTTACCCTTAAGATATTTATTTATTTATTTTTTTAATTACCGTTTGTCTTTTTATGAACCACGTAGAAGGGACATTCTCGTAACCCTATTGGACATTTTAATTTACTGTATAAGAAATGTAAACGCTAATATTATTATTCGTTTCTGCATTTAAAATATAAATTTATTTTCTTTGAAGTTCCAGATCTTTACAGGATGCTTAGTGCATTCTCTTGTCTCCTCTCTAACTGCAACAAACATATTAGCATCAAGAGGAATGTGATTATCAATGCTTACTTCATTTCTAGTCCCAACTCGGATTCTTGACCTTACTTCAGATCAGAGCGTTGGTCTCATATGACTTCAGGTTCAGGCTCATTTTGTGGGACTTGAGGTTTAGGTTCATTTTGTGAGCTTAGGTTCTAGTAGAATGGCTGTTTTAGAGGGTGCAATTTTTAGGGGTAAGGAAAGAGTGCCGAAGAACGTGTCCTCCTTATCTTCTAGTATAATCTTCTCATGAAGACGAGAGTGATGAAAGAAGGATTCGGTCTCAACAAAGATAACATCAGCAATATATACAACTTTTTGGTATGTGGATGATAACATTTGTATCCTTTCTAAGTTAGACAATATCCTATAAAAACACACTTGATTGCTATGGGATCAAGCTTTCCTCTTTGAGAATAGTGTATATGAACATAGGCAACATACCCAAAGACACAAGGAATAAGATTATTGGTAACTCGGACTTCAAGGAAAGAGTTAGGTAGAATTCCATAGAACTGCAAAAATCTAGTATTCTAGATGGTAATTGATTGATAAGGTAGGTAACCAAAAGTTGGTCCTTCTCTCCGCTAGGTAAGAAAATTCTACCAAAAGTTTTCAAAGTATCAAAAGTGAGATCTCCCAATTTTAGTCCAGTACCAAGGACATGCCTTAGCTTTTCTCTACCGATTTGAATCAGTTAGGACCAACTGAAGTAATCTTTGCCGTTGATGCAGTAGGTAGCCTGGATTAACTGAAATTCGTCGTTGCTGTGTGCTGAGTTTCCCATTAGGAAATGTGTGTCGGTAGATTGAGATGTAAACTCTACCATCTTCATAAAAACTTAGGGCACTCAAGGCCAATTAGAAAATACAGTTGCACAAGAATTGCAGCTGGATGGCTCCGCACATAGAAGCGGAGCTGCTGGCTTGTGTTTGGTGGAGCAGCTGTGCAACAGGGAAGAAGGCCTGCGCATGGGCAGATAGTGGTGGGTGGTGCAGTGGTTAGAACAGACAATTGGCAGCTGGAATAGTGGCCCACAGGCTGGTCCACGGCTGTTTCGGGCTGATTTTGGCCGGACAAAGGCTGCACAGAGAGTGGTGTGCGACAGGAGGGCTAGCGGTTACAGGGAGAAGTGGCTAAGGTCTGGCCGAACAGAGAGATGTGCACAAGGTGGCATGTTGCTGAGGTCTGTCGCCTGCAGGGAGCAGCAGCTGCTCTGGACTACCTCTAGCCGTGCGGCTTAGAGGCTGGAGCTGGCTATGAAGGCCGATCTTGTGGACTGATGACCGTTCTTGTGGTGCCCAACAGCTGGGTGGTGGTAGTCAGTAATGAAGGCTGGCCCCTTCAGAGTTTTATGACTTATTTCAGCAATTAAAAAAGAATAGAGTTTGTAAAAGAGTACAGGATTTGTTTAACTTAGTGCCTCTGATATCATATAGAGAATGAAGAGTGTATATTATTGAAATATGAATAACCAATTTTTACAAATTTACATGAGCAAAAAAAGGAAATACACTTAATTACAACAAGAAAGGTAATATTACTAACATATCTTTACTCTACTTTAAGACACTTCACACTTCTCAACACAGACAACCTTGTTAATAGCCTCCATGCCATCTCACATGGGAGGAATAGGTGATTATGGTTTCCCTTCCTTTACTGTTCATCAAACATATGTTTGAAGACAGGGCTCTATTAGGTGAGTCTGCAACAGCTCATTGGTGTTTACAAGGCCAATCCATATTTTTTCAGAAAAGATAGAAATTTATAAAAAAAAATGATAATAAGCCAATCCATATGCAAAATAACAAAAAATAATATTTAAATGTCCCTACGCCTTAACCCAAAGAGATGCCAAAAAAGACAACATATCATTGGTGCATTTCTCCAATCACAACACCCACAACCCAACAAAAAGAGACCCAAGTCCTTCCTCCTAACAACCCACAGAATCCAGAAGAAAAGAAACCCCTCACGACAAGAAAGAGATATCCACAAAAAACTCTTAAAAGTGTCAAATAAACAGGCTCAAAGTCTTCAAGCTATATCACAATGCAAACAAAACACAAAAGATTCTGTGAGACTCAACAGCTCTAAAGCACATCACAAAAGCATCCAGAAACGAAGCATAGTTAGGCCTGTGAGCCTGGAGCAAATCATTTAGTATTCAGCCTATTTAAAACTGCTGTCTTAAAGCTTTTTCTTTATGAAATCATCTGCACGAAATGTTAAAAGTATATTCAATAATTCGATCCATCTTGCATTGACTTTTTCGTTTCTTTTTTTTTTCTTTCAAAAAGAAAAACTTTATTAAGGGGGAAGCGAAGATACACAAAAGATATGAGAACAAGATGTCCTTCAAACACAATAAATTAACACAAAAAAGATAGAAAAAGATGGCATCTTCTAAAACAACTCTAGGCTTTCACCCAAGAAGAAGTGAAGAAATTCTCTTTTTGAGAACTATGCAAGGTGGTTCAACTGATGTTTAAAGTTCTAACATTTCATGTGAACTAAATGATCCACAAACCAGTGAAAATGCCTTCACTTAGGAGATGTGATTTTAATAGATGGAATATACCTAGTCTATTTTAATAATCAAATTTAAGCAACATGCACGTTGAATTTTTTATTCTTTTCTTTTTGGCAGGGTGGCATCAAATGTTAACTATCATATCACAGTGAAGGACAAAGAAGACAGGAAAACATAGGCAAGAAGTCCTTCAGCAGGAAGCTAGAGAAGGTGGTCAACAAAATGAACAAAAAGAATACACAAAGTAGATATCGATCAGTTCCATACAGTACAGGACCTCCAACAAGATTAAACAGCAATGCAACATTGTGAAACAACTAAGCACCTTTAGGGTGTTTGAGATTGCTAAGGGAAACGTGTTTAAAGCAGCAGGCGATGCTGCTTTGGGAAAAGAAGCATTTACATGCTTCAAAAAAATGCTTATGGTAAAAAACTAAACTTATGAGAGTAAATAAGTAATTAACATCTTTAAAAAACTAAGCATTGCAAGCTTTAAGTCAATACAAAAAAGTTTAGAGGAGAAGCTTATTTTTTCTTCTGTAAAGTTACTTTTTGCCACTTATGAAGCACCTTACTCATTATATTATTGAACAGTTTGAATTTGAACATGAAGCTTTGAAACTAAATATAGGCACGCAGTTAGTAAAGCCACAAAAAACCTCTACTTATTATTAACATTTTCCCAACTTAAGTCAAACTTAACAAGGAATGCATCAACACTACTTGTTTTTTTATACCTTATTGTTTGAAGAAGTAATCTTATTACAATCAATGAAGAGACTTCAATAAGAAGCATACACTTGACTCAAGCATGCAGTTGTCTTAATATTGTGACAAGTTGTACTTTTTTTCCATTAGAGGAGCTAAACTGCACTTATGCATCAACTTGTCTTTCATTATTTTTTTCTTTCATAAATTTCCGTGAAGCTCAAACTTATTTTGATGCCAAACTAGTATTTAACTTCAGGAAAATCTCTTTCAAATGTCCTTATCTGGTATGGATAAAATGATTGGAACCAGGGCACTTACCAAAATTCTGCTGTCATCTGCTTTAATCGAGTTTCAAGCTTTTGGAAAAGAGAAGTCCTTTCAAAATCTTGCTTGTTATGAGTAGGCTGAATAAAGTTTGCTTCCAGAACGCCTGTAACATATTAACATAAATCATTAGCCCAAGAAGACATTTCTGATAAATACTTTTGAATGTCACTCCTAGAATATTAAACAGTAACAACAGTAAGCAAATCTCACCAACAACCCCTCTTCCCTGACTGCCTGACGCATTTTTAACTGCAGGCCAAAATGGCTGCACAAAAAGACTGACATTGTGAGAAGCTTAAAATAAGAAAGTAATAAGCATCATATATACTAGTTTAAACTATCATGTAAACTGGTTGAATTCATTTTTGGAAATTAGTTTAAAAGATTAACAAATTCCCGTTAGAATATGTATGTTTCAAAATTTGTAGCTAACACTCAGCATAAAGAAAAAAGAGATGATTTATCTGTCGCATATTTTAATTTATCAAATTGATGCCATGCATCTTCCGTGCATCATGTTTATGGTATTTGGAACAATGCATGAAAAGTTATATGTTTATCCACTTGCAATAAAGCTGAAGAGATTCTGAGCTGTATCTAACAAGTTTAACATAAAAAAGTTATCTTTACCAATATAAGCCGATTCTGATGGTAGATACAAAAACCATGAATATTTACATGAGGAGCTTCCTTCAAAAACCCAATGGTAGTGACAACTTTAGCCTGAACAAAGAAAGGTTCAGTTATGACCAGACAATAATAGCAAAAGAGCAACCTCAATCCAAAGAGAAGGCGGACATGCTTAACTTTAAAATCATGAGAAATTAAAAGCAGCCTAATCCAAATCCAATCCATTTTACAACCATGGCAGTGTACTGTTTCTCATAAGGAAAAAACTAAAATGTCAAAAGGTTCTACAACGAAACCACTAATTGGATTTATTTTTAACAGAAACAGAAATTAGAACCTTGAAAAGAAGGAGCAAGGAAGAGATTAGGGAAACCATATTCCATCTCAAGCAGGTAGCTGGTGTTAAATGAAATGGTCAGAAAAATTGGAAGTCACAGGTTACTACGAACCTCTTCAGTTCCACTAGCCTGAGGTTCATACAAGATGAATTCGTGAAGCTTAAGATCATCCGCAATATTATGATGCTGAATAAGTTGTCCCCGCAATATAATACTAAAATGCGTGGGTAGCCGCAGATACAAGATGGACAAATATGCCTGTGAAGCTTAAAAGAGAAAAAGGATCAGCAGAAAATCTTTCCTTATTATACGTTCAAAAAATTAGATAATTTACATACACGAAGAGAATATTGGTATCGGTTAGCTATGTGCTGGTCAATTCTCTGAGAAACTAGCAGCCTTGGATCACCAGTAATATGAATATCCTGTGACTATCAAATTGTGTTAAAAAGGTACATCAAACATAACTCAAAAAATAGCTTGGAAGAATATGATAAACATGCAAACGAGAAGACCTCAGGATCAGAATCAAAATCTAATTCCATCTCCCCGTTGTCATTCATCCAAAGATTGTAAATTATGATTTTCGTTCCATGAGGTCCTATATCATCAAACTGACAATTTGGTTAATAAAAAATCCCGGACAGAGAAAGAAGTAAACAAAAAGAAAGATGATTGAGGTTAAGCTTATAAACCTTATTAGAGTGGATTCATAGCCAACCACTGAATGATAGATAACCAAAATACTTAGTGAAAAACATATGCTTAGTTGGTGTATACAGACAAGAAAAAAGGAACTGAAACTACTGTTGATAATTTTGTTAATGAGCCTATAATAAAGAATATCCTAAATTAGTAATGTCTTATACAGGTCATCACCCATATATCTAAGTTTCCTATTTATATTTTTCTTTCTTGACTTATAGATCCCCATAAATACTTCTTCAATATGGTATTAGAACAACGATTAAAAAAATTATAGAATCTCTTTGTACCAAAACATTAGTGTGGAATCTAGAGAGTAACTGAATTTCTTGTATATTAAGAATGAGAAAAAATAGCAAACTACTTACAAATCAACTCAAATCTCCATATCAAAGGGATATCCTCTAACCGGTATCTCATTATTTTAGGAAGTTCTATTCTCTAATAAGAGAATGCTAAGGTCTGTGCAGCAAGAAGATGCTGAAAAGAGGAGAGAAATTTAATTATATATTTAGATGTTATATTGTGTCTAATAATATAATTAAGACATTGTGTTGTGTATAAATTTTCTGCAATTTATGTGTGGACTACATTTATTGATTTTGATGATTGAAAAAACCTTAATTTTGCATTAATAATTATTGAATAAGTGTAACAGCTAGCTAACATGGTACAAGTTAAGAAAGAAGAAAAGCAATTAAAGATTGAAAATTAAAAATTAGCGACAGTACAACCATGTTCTTGGCAATTGCTTGATTCTATACAGCATCTTCTTCAATTTACACACCTTATTTGGTTCTGCTTCTCTGTTAAAACCTAATGGGATATCCACATAGAGTTCTTCTTTTAAATCTCTATGCATAAAGATATTTTTCAAATCAAATTATTGTGGTTGACAGTCATAAGGGCAGTAATGACAACAACATTCGCATAGTGTTCATCTTGACTATTGATGCGAATGTTTCTTAGTAGTCTATCACATATGTCTATGTATAACTCTTCACCAACCAGTATTTCTTTACACCTCTTGATTGTTCCATCTCCCTTGTATTTGATTGTAAAGATCTATTTGTATCTCACCGATTTTTTGCCTTTGGGTAAATCCACCATTTCCCATGTATATTTTTTTTAAAGTGTTTGCAGTTTTATATTCATAGTATTTTTACATTCTTCACAAGATAACGGCTTAAACACTTTGTTAGAAATAAACTTAGTATTCAAACTTGTGAGGGAACTTTTATGGGACACTGAACACTTATCAAATGACACAACTTATGCAATAGAATAAATAAGGTGCATAGTGCATTCTCTTGTATTTTTATGAAATGCAATAGATATACCATTGTTAGATTGAATAGGTTTTCTGAGACTTACATCAATTACAGAATCAAGATCATATGCTTAGAGCAGCTTAGGTTCGGAAGTGAGAATCTTCCTCCTTTTATACATATGAGAAAACCTATGGTCTGGTATAATTATTTAAGTTGGAGAATTTTCTAGTGGATTCTAAAGACTCTCTTGTGGTAATAATATGAGCTGCTATGAAGATAAGTAGTGAAATAGGATTTTCATTCAATAA